TCCCTGTGTGCCAGCCCTGTCCAGGCAGCAGAAATACAGGCCTGGACCAAGGTAGCTCCGGTCTGCGGGGCTGTCTTTTGCATCCCCCGCTAACTCAGGCTGCCTGCATGGTGGAGGTGACCTGCACGGAACCCTTGTGATACTAGCATTATTAACTCCATTAACAAGCCACGGCAGCCAGCCCTGGCACACGCATGGGGGCAGGGCAGGGGGCGGAGCATTGCCCACAGCCAACATGAAACTGTTAGAGGAGACAGGAGGGAGCACCCTCTCCTCACCCTCCTCCCTTCCTCCCACCCACTCTTTTTTTTTGGGGGGTTGGAGTTTCACTCCGTCACCCAGACTGGAGTGCAGTGTCCGCTCCCGGCCACCCCAGCCTCGACCCGCTGGGCTCTGGCAACCCTTCCACCTCAGCCCTCCAAGTAGCTGAAACTATAGGCGCGTGCTACCATGCCCGGCTCATTTTTAATTTGTTGTAGAGATGAGGTCTCGCCAAGTTGCCCCGGCGGGCCTTGAACCCGCGGGCTTAGGCAATCCACTCACCTCAGCCTCCCAAAGGCGGGGGATTATAGGCTGAGTCACCAAGCCCGGCTCCACCCACTCTTCTCTACCTTCTGTCTCTTCCCTCCTCACCCCTTCTCCCCCACCCCCCTCCCACCTTCTTACCTCGAGTGTTTTGTGGAATCAGGAAGGACACGCTTGTCTTTGATGAGCACAGGAAGGTGGACCGAGGTCTGAACGAGAGTCACCGTCTGGGTCTGAGATCACCTCTGATGGGCTTGAGGACTGGCAAGAGATTCTGTCTTGGCCCAGCTACAGGTCTCGGGTGGGTGGGCTGATGGTTTCTGTCTGTTATCTTTCTCTTTCTCACTTTGGGAGCAGACTGGGGTCACCAAGGAAGGTGGGGTGGGGACCTCACGCCTCTGCTCTGGCCAGATTGTCAGGAGCTGGCAACACGCCTAGCCCAGGGGCCTGTGGAATTGGACCCACGGCCACCTGCTAGAGGGAGGAGGCAATCTGGACCTGAGTGGTGAGTAACCTTCAGCTGCCTGCAAGGGGGTGGATGTGCTGTTGAACGTTCTAGAAACAGGCCCAAGGGCACCAGGCCTGGAGACTGCTGGAGTGTTAGGGCATCTTGTGGAGGTGGGTGGGTAGTGGGAAGGACTCCCCTTCATCCTCTGATGCCATCGGAGCTGGCTGATGACCTTGGGTTGGGGTGGGAGAGAACAGGTGGGGAATGGATGCCCTTGGTTGTGACCCGACTGGGTCCCCGGGCCTGTGTGTCGGGAATGCTCCAGGCTGGCCTGCCTGAATAACTAGATGCTTGTCAGGGCTTGTCACCTTTCCTGTGGTGGCCCTGATAGCATAACCCAGCATGTCACGGAACAGTAACCTTTTTCTTTTTTCCCTCAGGAGAAAAAAAGGTTTGTATTGTGTTTTTAAAAAACGCTTTGTTAGGAGTCCTCTGTGTCTGGGGTGGGGGGCGCTTCTTCTCTGTAAAGGAGTCTAGAGCCCCCTCTGGCAGGATTGGAGGGGGACAGCCCATGGGGTAAGGACATTGCTGTCAGCTGGTGTCAGGGGCAGTGACCAGTCTCACGCTGGTAGTCCCACTCGCCAATATGAGAATATGCGTGTATGTGCATGCATGTGCGTGCCTGTTTGTGTGTATGTGTGTGAATGTGCATTCATGTTTGTGTGTGCGTGCATGTAAGCTGTGGATAAACCTGCCCACCTTAGAGCGTGTCTGGGCTTCCCTGCTGTCGGGCAGGGCTGGTTGTTGGTAACAAGTTCTCCACGTGTCCTTAACTCTCAATTTTGTCTTGTTTGTCCCCAACCTTTAGTGGCCCAGCAGGGAAGTATGATGGTCCTCACAAGTCCTGGGCTGCGGGGACATGGGTGTCATCTAGCCATTTATCCCACATTCACCCATGGGGAGCCCCTACCAAACAGGGACAGAGGCTTGCCCTTGAGATCCAGCCTCCTGGTCCCCTCAGGGATGGCCTCCAGGAGACCTGAGCTTGGGGCGGCCCCATGATGATCTCAGGTTCCATTCCAAGGTAGTTCGCTTCAAGGGATTGGGGAGCCCCAAGAAGAATGTCATCTGGGAGCAGAGGAGGTTTTACGAACCAAGGGCCTTTGGAGGATGTGCCTTGTTGGTCTGGAAACTTCCCTCCTTCTGTATGCCCCGTTTGATGTTGAGAACACAGGTTGGAAGGTGGATAGCCCCTAAGTTCATCCAGCAGGTCAGGGTTGTGACCTTCCATGGCCAGGTCACTAAGGGGAATTCTTGCAGCTGAGTCCCTGACCCTGACCCTGACCCATGGCACCCTCTCTCGAGGCTGCTGTCAGAGGCAGGGTGCTGGGTAGACAGACTGACAGATGTGGTGACCTTGAGCTTCTGGGACCACTGGAATGTCCACTGCTTGTGTGGGGGGGTCATTTGCTGGGCCCTATGACAGTAGATGGTGGGGGTGGAGTGGCCCAGCGTGAGAGGGCACAGCCCACCGGGAGCAGCCTCAGTCCTGGCTCTGTCCTCACCTCCTCTGCAGCCCTCTCTGGGCCTTGATTTCCCCAAGTCTATCCTAAGTGACATGAGCAGTCTGGGGGTGGGCAGTGGAGGACGAGGACTCTGGGTGCCTCTGTGCCCCCTGCTTTATTCATGGCAGCCTTGGTGGGTTTGATGGACAGATGGGGAAACTGTGGCTGGGAGGGGTCATCCTGCAGTCTGCCAGTGGAGGTGGGGCCATTGATAACTTCCTGAAGAGGTGGCAAGAAGCCCAGAGGTACATCCGAGCCCCTGCCTTGAACCTGGAGATCTGACCGTGATCTCCTGGTGCTATGATCAGGGGTAGATTACTCAGACAAGTGGGGGATGGGCAATGGCCAGCCATGCTGGGGACCTATGAGGGCAGCATGAACTGGGTGTGGGGTTGGGGAGGACGTGGCCTTGGACCCCCCGGGGGTGTGGCTGTGGGCAGAGGCCCTTTCCCTCTGCGTCCAGTGACCCCAGGTCCACATAGTGTGGGAGCAGGAGGAAGGGCCACGCTGCTGGGATGCTGCCATGCTCCCTTGCAGTCTTGGGGACAGATTAGGGTCCCTTCTATGTGAGAGCTGAGAATGCCGGGGTCAGCGGGGGTCTAGGCTTGTCAGGCCCCCGCAGAGCCCCTGACCTTTGAACCTGAGATCTGCCGGGTGGTCTCATGGTGCTGTCTTCAGGGGCAGATTGCCAGGCAGGACAGAGAGGGCAGGCCTGGAGCTCCTCGTATGTGAAGGCCCTGTGCTTAGAGCCTCTCCCAGCTGAGGTTCAAGGTCACAGCCAGGAGCGGGGCATGATTCTTTCCCCTCTGCCTCCTTGCAGAGTTCCCCTGTGTGAAGGGGTGGGGGATGATGAGTGTGCTTTGGGAGGTCAGAGTCCGCTCCTGGATGGGTATGACTGGCCAGGCAGAGGAGTTAGTGTGTGCTGGACTGTGGAGGGAATGAGCCGAGAGTGCTTGAGTGCCACTGTCTCCCTGTAGGATACCCTCAGAACAGCTGTTTTTCCACGTTTAGGACAATAGGACCCTCAGATGTGGGACCCAGGCTTTTCCACTGGGGTGCAGAGCCTCTAACCCAGGGCCACAGATCACACCTCATTTTTCATGTGAGAAGAAGGCCTGGGCCGGATGCAGGGTTTGGATTTCCCAGGGCCCTAAGGAAGAGGCAGCTCCCACCCACTACTCCGCCCTGCTGCAATTTTTGTGTCTTTTCCTCACGTCCACCTCTCTACCTCCTCGAAATGAGCCTGGGGAGGATCAGCATCCAGGGGCCTCAGTGGGCAGGGGTGACCTCCGAAGGTAGCACGAAGGGTCCCAAGTCCCTATGGGGACACCTTCCAGAGGGTGGACACAGCAACCTGTGTGCTGGAACACCATGGGGACAGCTGAGTCTTTTCTGGACCCCACTCCCTGCCCCCTCTTGTCCATCCTCGGTGGCCCCACACCCCATTTTTGGAACAAACTACAAAGTCAGATCGTTTTTTATTTTGCTTTATTTGGGGGGTGCAAAAAGACTGGGGAGCTGAGAAAGTCCAGAGCGGGGAATGGTCTCCTCCCCGAGGCTAAGTTGGAGCCCTTTTGGCGACTTGGCAGGCAGAGGGGTGGTTGGAGCCCTTTTGGCGACTTGGCCGGCAGAGGGGTGTCTCCGGGCCTTTCTCAGAACCTTTCTTGGACCCCTCCCCTCTGGCGGGCCCTGGGACCCACAACTGTCCGACTGTCTGTGCTGGGGTGGGAGGGGAACCCCGAGGCGTGCAGTTGCCCCCTTTGGTGTGCAAGTCCGGTAAGTGGTACTGGTACAGTGGGTGCTCCGAGGAGCTGCTTGGTCCAGGTAAGTCCAGAGCTCAGGGCCAGCTGGAGTCAGTGTCAAGAGAGCCAGACCAGATGGGGGGGTGGGCTTGCTTGCAGGGCGGGACATGGGGACGGAGGCATCACAACACGTGGGGAGGTTGGGGGGGCGGGGGCGGGAGCCCAGGGGAGCAGAAGCACCGGTGGTGGAGGTAGAAGAAGTCAGTGGAGCACCCAAGGTCAGTGTCCCAGATGGCACAGGGTGGCCACTCGCCACGGGGGTGGGGGGGTCCCTGGCACCTGCTTGCTTGGCTGAGTCTGCTGTGCCTGCTTCCTCCTCTGGCCTGGGGTCATGGGGTCACCTCCTGCTCGTCACTGCACTCCCTTCTCATGACTCTCACTCCCGCTTGCGGGCCTGGGACCTGGAGGATTAAGACCGGGTTGGTTGTGTAGCCCTGAGCTGGCTCTGGGTCTCTGGTGGCTGGATAGTCTGGTAGCACGGATAATGTTGCTGGTTGATGAGTTGAAGAAGTGTTTGCCCTTGACAAGTGGGTTCCCCTTGGGTCAGGAGTGGCAGGAAGGGGACACTGGATCCGAGCGAAGCAGTCAGAGGCCCGGGGAGGCCAGGAGACTCTGCTGGCAGGGCGGCACATCACGGGTGGTAGAAGCAGCAGGTGGCTGGAGAGGAGGAGGCCTTCTCAGTCAAGGTCAGGGTCTTCGTCCTCCTCAGGCAGCTCCTCCAGCCTTGCCTCCTCCCCGGGCGGGCACCGCCAGGCGGGGGTGGGCAAGGCCTGCGTGCAGACCAAGATCAGAAACCGGCCCAGGGCCCTGGCTGCCTGCTCACGACTGAGCAAGTGCAGCTGGCCGTCAGCGCCACGGACATGAAGCAGGCGGCTGCCCAAAAAGTCCAGGACCTGCGGGTCCATGAGGTGGCGCGGGCGTGGCAGGAAGGCGACGGCTTCGTCGCCAGGTGGGGCCTCCTGCACGTCGTTGTCCTGCGCGTCCTGCGAGGTGTCTTGCAGGCCGTCATGCAGGCCACACTGACGGTAACGTTGCAGGTCGTCTTGCAGGGCGTCTCGCAAGACGACATCCTCGTCGCCAACGACGTGCAGCTCCAGGTACCGGCTCTGGCGCCGGGCAGGGCGGCCGCCCTCTTGGGGGGTGACTCTGACACCGAAGAACTCGCACAGCGTCAGCCAGAACCCAGGGGTGAACCGCAGGCCCCGATGGGTCTGGGGTTGCAGATCATTTCGCTGCCAGCGCTCGGGGCCCAGGAACAGCTCGGCCAGCTCCTGGGCTGGGATGACGTTTGCACCCACAAGCGGGGGCATCTGGGTGAGCAGCTGAGTGACAGCCGTCGAGATGCCGCTGCCTGTGATGAGGGACGAGTCCAGGATGAAACGTAGGGAGCGCCTGGGCTGGGGCCGCACCACTTGCATGGTGGGTGCCAGGGTCAGCGAGTGGCGCTGCCTCACCCTCAGCAGCACGAGGATGGCCGCCCGAGCTAGGACGTTCTTCCAGTACAGGAGGCCTCGGAAGAAGTGCAGGAGGACCGCCCTGATCTGGGCCACGCTGAAGTGGGCCAGGAAGCTGTTGAGTATTTGGTCGATGGGTATGGTGGCCAGTAGCTCTTGCTGTAGGGTCTGTACATTTGGCTCATCCTGGTCTTCGTTCTCGTTTTCTTCCCCCGATTCTGTTGACTGGTTCCTGGGGGATCCCCTTGAGGCGAAAAGCAGGGCTCTCCTGGAGGCAGTGCTCTTCTTGAAGGCTCTCTGCCTGAGGTTTCTCCCGGGTGGCAGAGGTCGGCCACCATCTTGTTCTGACAGCTCTGCGATGTCAAAGTTGAAGTGAGAGAAGAAGAAGACCCAATGCCCGGGGAGAAGTACGGTGAGCCTGTCATTATTCAGAGAGGCTAGATCCTCTGTGTTGAGAAGGATCATGATGGGCTCCTCGGTGTTCTCCAGGTAGCGGCACCACACCATGAAGGCAGCCCGTATTGGAAGGATCTTCATCTCCAGTTGAGAGTACTCGACCTCGATAGGGGAGGTGTTGCGGGAGTAGAAAGCGCAGCAGACTCTCTTGCCCGTCTGGTCGTCTATTTGGATCAGGGAGGCGTGCAGGGCCGTCCCAGTGACGCCTGTTTCCAAGTAGAAGGGGTTCTGGGGCTTGGGGTGGTAGAGGAGGGGCACCTGGCTGAACGCCCGCTTGAGGCACTCGAAGGCCTCTTGCTCCTCGGCTCCCCAGCGGAACTGCTGGGTGCTCAGCAGTTGCTGCACCAGGGGCTCCACAATGATGCTGAAGCGTGCCACAAAGTGCCGGTAGGGGACCACGAACTCGAGGAGGTTCCACAGGGACAGCCTGGAGCCAGGGACCGGGTACCCCGAGATGATGCTCATGACGCTTTTGTTCAGTTTCACCCCTCGGGGGGTCATGGCGAAGCCCAGGAAGTCCACGGTCTGTCGGTGGAACTGGCTCTTGCCCAGTGAGCAGTAGACGTTGTGATGGCGAAAGCGGACCAGGACTTGGCGGACGTGGTGGAGGTGCTCCTCCTGGCTCATGGAGTAGATCAGGACTTCCTGGCCGTAGGAGAGCACAAAGAACCCTAGCATGTCCTTTAGGATGAAGTGAATGACGTTCTGAGGTATGATAGGGTCTGGGGACAGCGTGAAGGACGGGTAGCTCTTCATGTCTTGGAGCTCCAAGCCGAAGGCGGCTTTCCATACATCCTCCGTTCGGTGTACGTTCAGGCTTTCCTCCACGATGGTCCCGCGCAGCTCCAGCTTGGTGAACCATGCCGCTCCGTGCAACTGGTCAAACAGTTCCGGAATCATCTGTATGTAGTCCTGCCTGTCGGTCAGCATGTCCTGCAGGTCCCAGTATGCATCCTGTAGCCTGGCTCTTTCTTGCATCCTGGCGCCCACAGGTTCCCAAGGCGCGGTGGAGGGACATTCGTAAAAGGTCTCGCTGTGATCACTGTCTCCAGCCTGCTGAAGCTCAGAGGGCTCTGATTCAGAAAGATCATCGGATCCGTCTGAGCTTGGCTGGTCGGAAGTCTCATCATCTGCTTCCTTCGGGTTAAACACGTCGGCCAGGTCTGAGTATGGGTGCGGCAGTCCGGGTAGCAGGCTCATGCTGTGTCTCTCCAGGGCAATGCATGGGGGCGGCGGGCGGAAGCAGTTCTTCAGGCAGTAGGGAGAGTGGAAGGTGCAGCGGCCCTTGATCCAGTCGACTTCCGGGGCGTGGACTCGGAGCCAGCGGACACCCAGGACCACGGAGAAGTGAGGCGAAGGTACGATGTCAAATTCGATGGACTCCTGGTGGTTCTGGTGGATGCACACCAGGGGTTCAGTGTACAGCCACGCAGGCTCGTGGCCCACCAGCGAGCCGTCCACGGACCGGGCGGACTGCGGGTAGGGCTTCTCGTAGAGCTCGACGTAGTGCTCCTGGGCGAACCTCTCATCCATGAAGTTGCCGTCGGCTCCCGAATCCACCAGGGCCTGGACCGCGACGCTGTGGTAGGGGTTCACCCTCACCATGAGCAGCAGGAAGAGGTGGGCGCGGTCGATGGCTGGGTGAGCTTCGCTGGGCAGCCAGCTGCTGACCATCCACCTCTCCGGAGCAGGTGAGTCGATCCAGGTCAGGTTCCGCGGGCGGGCCTCCGGGGGCAGCCTCATCATCGCCCTTCTCTCTGCCAGCTTCTCTTCTATTTGCAGGACGAGCACGATCAGGCTGTCCAGGGAGTCTGGCTGAGGGACCCGGAACAGATAGTGCCTGATCTCCTCGCTGAGCCCCTGACACAGGTGGGCCTGCAGCACTTCCTCCGGCCAGCCCAAGACAGGTATCAGGCTCTGGAACTCATCGATGTACTCGGTGGCCGAGCGACCTCCCTGCCTGATGTTGAACATGGCCTCTTCTGCCACACGCAGTGCCTGCCGGTACTCGAACACCTCTGACATGGCCTCCAGGAAGGCTGGGAAGTCTCCCATCAGGGGGCTGTTTTCCTGCAGCAGAGCTTTGGCCCATTCTAAGGCCAAGCCAGAGAGGTGGTCGATGACGTACCCAACTCGCAGGTGGTCGCTGTAGAGCATTCTTGGGTAGCTTTGTAAGGTCAGCTGGCAGAGCACAATGAACTCGTGGAATTCCCTGCGGTCGCCAGAGAAGTGTCTTGGGGCGGGCAGTTGGCCGGCGTGGATGCCTTTGATCAAGATCTCTTCCGCTACCCTCTGTTGTTCTTTGAGGTCTTGCATCCGGAAGTACAGCGAGATGATGGACTGCACCGTGGCCATGATTTCCGTGGTCGAGTGCTCGGGCTGGCTTTGCCCTTGAGGAGCCTCCTCCCTTCCCGATCCACTCAGGTCAGTGTCAGCCTCTTGTGCCTCCTGGGCTCCCGATGGGTTTACTGATGCCGCTTTCATCCCGTCAGATGCTTCCCCGCGTGGCTCCGCCCTTGCCTGGCGTGGACCCTTGCATGACTCCTCCATGTCTTGGAGTAGGTCATTGGGTGGATCCTCTATTTCCTTACGTGGGCCACTGGATGGCTCCTCCATGTCTTGGAGTAGATCAATGGGCAGCGCTTCCATTTCCTGGAGTGAGCCACTGGGTGGCTCCTCCCTTTCCTGGGCTGGGCCACTGGCTGGCCCCGTGGCTCCCTGCGCTCCGCTGCCCGCTGTCGCCACAGTGGTGTTGGATGAGCCCTCGGAGGACTCCATTTGTTTTGATGATGGATTCTTACGCTCCATCATCGTCTCAAATGAGTCTTCAGAGGGTTCTATCATTTCGTCGGATGGAAAGGAGTGTTTTCTGAAGATTGGTAAGGTTGGAGGTGTTCACTCAGCCCCTGGGACGGTGGCGATCAGAACCTAGTGGTGGAGGGGGAGGGATGGGAGTAAAGGCAGTAGTTTAGGGTCTCACGTGGTGCCAGGGTCAGGTTCTCAAGGCCACATCAGAGGATTAACCAATCAGAACAGAGAGAAGCCAGGGAAAGCCTTCTTGTGACCAAACCCGTCTCTGCGGCTGGTCACTTGGGGCGCCCCTGGGGAGAAAGTATCCACTAACTCCTGACCTGCCTCCTGGGCTTAGTCAGTCTGCCTGGCCTGTCTACTTCCTCCTTGGATGTGAGAAATTAACAGCCCATAAATTCTGTGGAGTGACCGTCCCAGCGTGGCCGCCGTGGCAGGCAGGCAGGCAGGCACCTGGCGGGATGCACAGGCCTCCGCAATTCATCTTGGCACTCATTCCTGTCAGTCCTCTTTCCCTGCTTTGGTCCCTTGAGAACCACGGAGGCCATCTCTCAGTGTCATCCAAAGCCACCCCTGGCAGGCTCCGTGCTCTGGAGCAAGCCCAGCCACCTTGGTGGAAGCGAGAATCTCTTGCAAAGATGCCCACCGTCTCCCCAGGTCAGTGGAAGAAGAGAAAGTGTGCATTTGGCCACCATCCCGTCAGTTGGGTCGGCAGCCCCAAATAGCTCTTATTTCCAAGTTCAAAATGAAAACTTCGTGTGTGTGTGTGTGTGTGTGTGTGTGTGTGTGTGTGTGTGTAGAGGTCTGAGTTCTAATGCTTATTTTTAATTTTTTTTCCATAAAGTTTATAACTTGACTACCCAGTGCCAGATAATTGCACATTTGTTACTCAGGTTTTTTTGTGGATTTTTCTTTCTCGATTTGATCACCTTCTGGTGAAGTGATCTTCACACAGTCTCCCAGCCCCTTACCCCCAAAATCTCCACTCTCCCAGGATATCTTCCTTGTCCATAGGGCTTCCAGAATTTCACACATCTGGCCCTGATCCCACCCGTGGGAGCACATCTGAACACCTCTCTAATCTCATCCTCCCAAGTGCCGTCTTTCCTCGGGTGGGCTGATCCCCTCATTCTAGCAAATCCTGTCTTCTGTCTGTTGCTGGTAGGCACCCCTCCATCAGAGAGATGTATCTGGTAGAGCTGAGACATTGAATGTGGGGAGTGAGCGGGGAGGGCGTGAGATAGCTTTAAAACTTGAGTGTTCTGGACTGGATTTTTGAAATTCTAGCGATGGGTGGTTGTAGGGAGCTAAGACTGAATCTAAACAGATGTCTTGGTTGGGGTTATTTGTGCTTTTTGCCTCTGCTGGGGGGAGAGCAAATTGTTCTTTGATTACCCAATAGATTAGCCATATAGTTGCTGCTCTTATAGATTTAACACCTTTTTTTAACTTCTCAGTTTTCTTTTTGATTCATCTGTTAGAAAAAAAAAAAATTCCCTTATGTAAAACTTCTCACTGGCTAAGATCCAGGCTTTCCGACAGGATGCAAAATTCAGATCTGCTGTTTCTCAAGATTAAATACACCCTTGTTAGCATGACACTTACATTTGATCATGTAGTCCCTCTGATTAAAGCCTTTTTCTGTTTATTTACTGTCTGCTATATTAAATCCAAACCTTTTAGCACAAACATAGCTGACGTATAAACTCACCAAACCATTCTCTAACTAAAATATGAATGCCTTAGCATAAAATAAAATTCTTATTTTTGTCATTATTTAAAGTATAGGTCATATGTTTTTTTTAGCATGGCATACATATTAGGGAAGATCACCACCTCCACCACCATCAACACATACACAGCTCATTGCATAAATCAACTCATTTTCTCTTCATAAAAGCCCTCAAAAATAATGTAATTATTATAAAATTCCAGATCTGTAATATAAAATTCTAATTGAAATACAAATTTAAGTAATTCATCTGCAGGCTTATGTATCACAAATAAAAATCTCAGCATGTCTCTCACCTAAAACCCTACATCAGCTAAAATTTAAATTTCTTAGCAAGATGATTTAAAAACTAGCTTATGCACTGTCTTAATATAAAGTCTGCACTTTGTAATATATTTACAAATTTGATCATGTAAGTGATTAAATCCTTCAGCATTTCCGCCTTCAATCCGAAATCTAATAGCCTTGGCATGTTATAAAAACCTTATCTTAATGTTCCTTAACATCAAAGTTTAGACTTTTAGCTAGATGAATAAAGGTTATCCTATAATTTCTCTATTTAAAAGATACAAGATTTCTTTTTACTGCCAATAATATGAAGTTCCAGCCACTTAGCATAAAATAAAAATTTTCACATGCAATTCATTTGCCAGCTGATCAATATAAAACCTTAAGTCTCTCGACACCACTCCTCAAATCCTCTTCTGGTGTGATTCCAAACCTCTCAGCATGATATAAAAATTTGACCATGTCCCTCCTCTAAACAAAAGGTTCCACTTCCTTGCTAGATACATATATTTGCTCTTACAACATCTGCTTAAAGCTTTATAATATCTCTTAATTACCCCTGAGATTAGATCTAAACAGTTTAGCATAAAATAATGCATTTTACCATATAATTTATCTGATTGCTGTGCTCAACACAAAAATTCCACCATGTCACTCTCTTAACATCTCTTAATGGCAGAAATCCAAATTCCTAAACACGGTATACAAAAAAAAAAAAAAAATGTGATACTGTCATTCCTCAAAATAGTGTCCCAACTTCTTAGCATGCTATGTAAATTTAAACGTTTGACTTCTCCTTGTAAGAACTGCCCTGTCTATAAATGCCCCAAGTCCTCATCACAGAGCACAACCCGGGTGCCCTCGTGCCAAGGGGGCTGTCTCTGCAGAGAAGCGGTCGATGCTTATTCATTATCTGGTTCATCAAATCCAGACACCTCAACATAAAATTTGTTTTACCATCTAATTCCTCTGGAGACAAAACTCTCATCAATTCACTCTTTAAAACTCTCTACTGGCTAAAATCCAAACGCCTCCGCACGAGGCTTCAACAATGAGCTCATCCTCTTCCTCCAAATGAAAACTTGAACGCCTTCAGCTCTCCCATAAAAATCACATCTCCTTAGCATGTTAGAAAACTCTGATCATATTATTTTTACCATACAGACCCACTCTTTTAGCTGTGCTGAAATGCATACATTTGAGCATGTAACTTCTCAACTTATAACTTTTCCAAGTTTCTTTATTGTCTATCACATAAAGTCTCAACTACTTGGCAAAAAATACAACCTTGACCATGTAATTTATCTCAGGCTGGTCTATAAAAAACCCCATCCCTCATGCTGTCACTGCTTTAAGTCCTTTATTGACTTAAGCCCAAATTTATTAGCATGATATAAACATTTGATCATGTCATCCCTTAAAGTAAAATTCATACTTCCTAGCACAATGTATAGATTTGATCTTGTAACTCCGCCTTAAAATCTTACAATATCTCTTGATTGTGCATGGAACAGAAGTTCAAATTTGTAGCATAAAATGTGAATTTAGTTCGTATGTGAATTTCACTGAGAACTATTTATCCACCATGCAAAATAAATTCCACCAGGTCACTCTCTTAGAACTTTTTATTGGCTAAATCCAATTCCCAGGCGTGTACAAAAATCGTATCATGTGAGTCTCAAAATAAATTCCAAATTTCTTTGCATATCCACAATGACTGTGTAACTCCTCTGATTAAAAATTTTCAACTCTGGTATGGACATTTATCAACTCCCTTAAGCATGCTCTGCGACCACTGCTCTGACCACTCCCTCAAGGTAGAAAGTCAAAATGTTTAAGCATGTTCCTTAATTGGTGGCTGTTACGTTTCTATTTACAATTCTTCAGTGTTTCCTTGCTGCTTGAAATACGAAGTCTAAAGCTATTCACCATAAAATATATCGTACCATGTTTTTCTGCAGACATCTCCCACTCGCAAAAACTCCCACCATCACGGTTCTTAAAACCGTTTGACAAAAATCTAGGCTCTTAGCATGATATAAAATTCTCATCTTGTCACCTCTCAAAATGAAGTCTAGATTTCTTCCAATGAAACCTACATCTGTTCATGAAACTCCCGCTTAAAAATCTCTCAGTGTATTTTCATCATTATCAGAAAGTCTCACCACTTTAGCAGGGCACCCACATTTAATTATGGTGGGTTCAGCTTGAAACCTTTCAAATTTCATGTCCACAACCCCAGACTCAAATGCCTGAGCATGAATGGAAAACTCAAGCCTTTCTTAGGTTGAAAACCTTTAGACCAATCTTCATTACTTAAGTTATAGAGCTTACGGTCCTTTTGCATGAAACCAAAATGCTTAACCCTCGATGATTTCTAGCTTACCTTCCTTGTTTCTCCCACACTTCTCTCTGGAAAGACTGAGTTTCCCATTCCCCGACCCCAAACACATTTCGAGTTTATTGTGCCCGGATGTTTCTATTTTTTAAATCAAGTCCTTTTCGGCCCCTAATTCATTCATTCATCCAGCAGTATGCACGTCCTGATTCTTTTTGAGGGGCCAGGCACTGTGTTTGATCCCCCAGGAAGAGAAACAGAGGCAGTGCCCCCCTTGCTGGTCCTCCCCAGCAAGGAGATGAGGCCCATGCCCTCGGGACAGAGGCCCTGCTGGAGGTGAGCAAGGGGTCTGTAGGACAAGGGATCCCTCTCCACAGGCCAAGTATCTCCTTCGAGGCTCAGCTCAGATGTCTGCCCCTCCGGGAGAGCTTTAGTCATTGCTGGGGCCTCTGTACTTGGCCTCCCAATTCTCGTTTTAGGTGGGCCCTGCGGCCTTCCTGTTTGGCCCCAGCTTGCCACTAGCTCTCCTGCCCGGGCCCTGCCTCTGTAGGCTGTGCAGAAATAATATTCGAAGTCCTTCAAATGCGGCTCAATCGTGTTTTTCTGAAACCGAGTGACGATTTTGTTAAGAAATGTTGACTGACTTGGAAATTCCCCACCTTAGGAAAAGCAAAAGGAAAAAAGATCCTGTGTACCTGGCTTGGGGTCAAAACTACCCTTAAGGTCTTA